CTATATTATATGAATCATATAATTTGACAACGATGTCGTAGTGGAAGTGGGTCTCCAAGAAATCCACCCACCGCACCTGTCATCGTGAGAGCGTCGGTTGCGACTTCAGGTATTTGAGGCTGCAGTGGTCAGTGTAAACTGTAGTCTTGGCTCCCTCTAGATAACACCTCTATGCCTTGAAGGCTACGACTATGGGGCCTCTATGCCTTGAAGGCTTCCTTGTCGTGAATGGGGTAGTTCAGTTCTGCTCCGTGTAGCTTCTAACTGAGGTAGGCTATTGGCTGTAAACCGCTTCCGTGATCCTGCATCAGTACTGCTTCGACTGCCTGGTCACTAGCGTCTACTTCAACTACGTAGTCTTTGTCTGGGTCCGGTAGGATGAGTACTGGCGCTGTGGTCAGTGCTGTCTCTAGCTGTTCCTTGGCTTGTTGATGAGGAGTATCCCATTCGAAGGGCGTATCCTTTTTCAGTAGGTCGGTCAGTGGCGCTTCTATCTTAGCGTACTGTGGCACGAACCTGTTGTAGTAGTTGGCAAAGCCTAGAAACTGCTGCAACTCCTTCACGTTCTCCGGTACTTTCCACTTTTTAACGGCTTCGATTTTCCTCTGGTCAACGTGTACGCCCTCGGCACTCACCATGTGCCCGAGAAACTGCACAATCTTCAGTGCAAGTCGCTCTTTGACAGCTTCACATAGAACTTATTTTTCCGCAGGATCCCGAACACCTTCCGCAGATGCTCCACGTGCTCCTTCATGTTCTTGGAGTAGATGAGGATATTGTTCAGGTACACTACTACGCACTCATCCAGCATGGGCCGTATGATATGGTTCATCTCCGCATGGGACTTTGCTGATGCGGTGCAGAGTCCGAACGGCATCATTAAGTACTCGTAGGAGCCGTATCTAGTACGGATCACCGTTTTGTGGATCGAGTTGTCCGCCATTTTGATCTGCAGTAACCCGACCGTAGGTCCAGCTTCAAAACAATCGTTGCACCACGCAGTTGGTCCAGTAGGTCGTTTATGCGCAGTTTGGGTTTTTGATTTTAACTGTCTGTTTGTTCAGTGCGTGGTAGTCGAGTTGGGTTCTTGGGTTCGCTCCCTCTACTGCTGAGGACTAGTGCGCCGTAGGGAGAGGTGGATGGGCGTCTTAGGGAGAGGTGGATGAGCTCAGGAAGAAGAGCCGTAACCTGCCGTCTGGTTTTGGGGCGAAGAGGACTAGTGCGCCGTAGGGAGAGGTGGATGGGCGGATCAGTTGTCCGTCCAGTGAATATTCAATATGTTTTTTCATGTCTGTCAGTTCTGTCGGACTCAGTCGGTATGGTGCACGTGAGACGGGTTTCGCACCTGGTTCCTCCACGATCTCGTGCTCGTGGGTGCATGTTGGAGGTACGCCTGCGGGTAGGTCGTCGTGCATTATATCCTTGTACTGCTCCAAGACCTCCTCCACTAGTGCAGGAAGTTCCGAACTCTGCTGTTGCCATAACCAGTGCTAAGTAACCCGTGTTACTCTCGTTCACCGTCCGTTCGAACCGTGCCAATGTCGTTTCAGGAACATCCCCTGTATCCGTCCATCTTCGTAGCTCCATCCGCTTCCCGTTGTTGTAGATGCACACCTTACTGTTGACCCAATCAATTTCGGGGTTAAACCGCTTCAGAAAATCTCGCCCCAAGATGAATTCTAAGCCCTTGATGTCCGTGATCGGCAACGTCGGCTTCCACCTTAACGCCCCTATATGCAGCTGCAGGGATGCTTCGCCATGGATGGGAAGCTTCGTACCGTCTACCATCGTTGCTGAAAACCGGGTCTCTTCCACTTTCTCTCCAACTTTCTCCAACGTCCTGCGGTCACACACCGAGTGGGACGCACCGCTGTCCACCAGTGCCTAGAGGCATAGCCCGTTGCAGATCATCTCGAGTAGTGGCTGCTGCTGCTCCAAGTAGCCGTAGATGGTCTCGCTTATAGGATCATAGGTTACGTCGAATAGATCATCCCTAGGTCCTGCGATCGAAGCTGCTGTCTCAATATCAGTTTCCAACTGAGCAGGTTTAGTAGGATTTATCTGAGGCCGATTCGGCTTCGTCTTGGCCTGGAACCTTCCCCTAAGTCGATGCAGCTGTGTAGGCTTCTCCTGTGGGCAATGAGGAGCCTTAACACTGTGCTGTGGGGAGAGAATATTGACTCCTTGGAACGCACGACCCTTTTCAACGCTCCGAAGTGGTTTGCCCAACTTCTTAGATACCTGAATAATATATGAGGGCTTTTTCTTAGCCTCTACATCTTCCCTGAAGGCTTGAAAATCATGAGAAGTAACACCCTTAGTTAAAGTATCTTAATAGGATAACTTTAACAAATTCTTACTTTCGTGGGTGTTCGGCTGGAGTTTCCCGGTCGGTGCAGAGTCTTGTTTCGCGGAGCCTCCATTTTTCTGGGCGATTTCCCCTGTTGCCGGCAGGTCTTGACTTTTTAAATTCGCGCCATCATGTCCTCCTTTTTTCGCCCGCTCCGAAGTCGCCACGTCGTCGTCTTTTTGTGTTTTTTACTTCGGGGGTGCCGCACTGTTGTTGCCCTGCAGCTCTGCTCGTGCCTTCTTCATTTTCCAACACGCCAAGAGTCGATGTTCTGCTGCGCTGCAAAATTCACATTTCTCATATTTTGTCGGCCGCTGCTTCGCGTCGATCATGTCGATATCCACCAGGTCGGCGGTCGTGGGTGGTGCCGATCGCTTCGTGTCGAATGATCTGTTCGGCACGTGGCGTCGTATCTCGGGTTGACCTCGCGTCAGCGCATCGAATCTCTCTGCTGCACACACCATGTCGCGGTAGTTGTTGTAGTTCGGCGGACTTCCATTTTTAGCCCCTCACTATACGCTTGGATTTTTTCCCCTTCGGTCAGGTCGGTAATTCGATTGAAGAGGCTCTCCATCTTCTGCGTGTATTGTGTTACACTTCCGTACAGTTTATGCTGATGAATCTGCTGCCGCGCCCTGTAGCTGTAATTGATTGGTTCGAAACGTTGAATTAACGCCGCCCGAAACTGCGTCCGTGACCTTTCGCCTCGAATCTCATCACTGTTGTAAATCCACTCGAGCGCCGGGCTTCGTAACAGTGTCGCTGCGAACCGAATCCGCATTGCATCGTGTGTCGGAGTCGTACAACCAAAAGCCCCGAAATAAATTTCGATTGTCGCAAAGAATTGACGGGCGTCGGCGTCTCTCGCATTCGGATTGAACGTCTCCGATAGCCTCGGACGTGCCGCCTCAAGATTCATTGTGGCTGTTGCTGGGTGAAGTGTCGGTGTCGCCGCTGCTGCTGCTGCCGTCGCTGCTGCATTCGCTGTTACGTTCGCTGCTACCGTGGCGGCTGCAGACTGGTTCGCGAGAAGCTCCTCTACTCGCTGGAGTGTCGCTCGCATCTGTTCCAGGTCGGTGCGTAACTCTGTAACTTTCCGTACGGAATTATCACCATTTTCCTCCATTTGGAGATTTACAGGAAGATTTACGACAGAAATAGTTTGAATATAGGCGCTGGTCGACTTACTGCGCATCGAATCGACTGTAGAAATGTCAAGCGCTGTTTCTGATGTTAGCGTAATTCTCCCTTAGCCGAAATTCGCGTCAGATGTCGGCCGTTGAGTTGAAATTCGATCCGACGCCCCAAATTCCAACGTTTTAGGGCGAAATTCTCAGGGCCGTCGATGTCCGAATCAATCCGACGTTTTTGCGACTGAACCTGAGGAGCGTGTATAGCCTGACGTCGCCCTAATTCTTTCATCATACAAAAAGCGACTAATTAGGGCACTAGCGACCAAGGGACACGGCGACATGGCGACCTGGCGACAGACCGAAGAAGCCGCTCAGCCCACGACCTAGCTTATCGCGAGTTGACAATGCGTAATTTTGTTGTGCGTGCGTAGTTTTGTTGTGCGAATTATGAGTTGACTAGAAAATACGTGCGAATATGGCACTAACATGTGATGCTCATCATCCAATCTGTACTCGCTATGGGATGTCAGAATGCCGTCTAAGGTCCAAGGGGACATCACTCTCGCACCTCCTCCCCCGCCCCATCCTTCTTCTCCTCCTCACCATCGCACAATCCCCACTGTGTGACGCCGCCGCCACCGTCGCGAGAAGCATGATGCGCAATTGACATTAGGAGGCGTCAGGAAAATAAACGGCAGATCCGCTTTTCTTGCTCTCCCAAGAAAACGCGGCCTTAATTCCTTACTCAGCCCTTCTTTCGTAACTGTGCTCTGATGTTATTTCAGAGGATAGTCTCAGGCGGAACGTCTCTCTTGCCCAGTCGTTTGGATTCCAGATGAGCTGAGGACGTAATACACCAATACTGCTGTTCCAATTCTGCGGCTTCCTACTGGCGATAGTGACTAAAGCCGAGAAAGTCGCTGCGCCGCATGGATTGTGAGAGGCGAGAGGCGGCGGCGACGCGAGCATCACAGGCGTCGGAGCTGCACGAGCAGCGAATAGAATGGCGAGCGGCATCATCATTTGACGGTGCTGGTGGGAGAGTTGTCTTTTCCCTCCCTGCTCCTCTCCGCATTCTTGTTCCCCCCTGCTCCTCCACCAACTCTTGCTCCTTATTCTCCGTCTATGCTTGTTGTGCGGAATAAAAATACCCATTCACGATATACCCCTTCCGACACATTTAGAATCATCACAGTCCCCTTCTCTCCTCCTCCCCTCCCCTTCTCGCCCTTTCCCGCTTCCCCTCCCCCCCCCCACCAATCCAACCCCCCACACTCTCATTTCCCCACACTCCCCCCACACTCATGCTACATGTCATCCTCTCACAGGCTACAGCGACACGCTGGAGAACTGGGCGCAGCACGCGCAGGCAGTGGGTCCGGGCGGCCATTTCATCGTCTTTGCCGTCGACCAGACGGCGCTAGCCTTCCCCACCAGCAGGTACCGAGCAGGCGCGTCATGCTGAGGTGACGTATGGCTGGGTGGTGTTACTCGCATGGCTGGGTGGTGTTACTCGCATGGCTGGGTGGTGTTACTCGCATGGCTGGGTGGTGTTACACGCATGGCTGGGTGGTGTTACACGCATGGCTGGGTGGTGTTACACGCATGGCTGGGTGGTGTTACACGCATGGCTGGGTGGTGTTACTCGCATGGCTGGGTGGTCTTACACGCATGGCTGGGTGGTGTTACACGCATGGCTGGGTGGTGTTACTCGCATGGCTGGGTGGTGTTACACGCATGGCTGGGTGGTGTTACACGCATGGCTGGGTGGTGTTACACGCATGGCTGGGTGGTGTTACACGCATGGCTGGGTGGTGTTACACGCATGGCTGGGTGGTGTTACACGCATGGCTGGGTGGTGTTACACGCATGGCTGGGTGGTGTTACTCACATGGCTGGGTGGTGTTACACGCATGGCTGGGTGGTGTTACACGCATGGCTGGGTGGTGTTACACGCATGGCTGGGTGGTCTTACACGCATGGCTGGGTGGTGTTACACGCATGGCTGGGTGGTGTTACACGCATGGCTGGGTGGTGTTACACGCATGGCTGGGTGGTGTTACTCGCATGGCTGGGTGGTGTTACACGCATGGCTGGGTGGTGTTACACGCATGGCTGGGTGGTGTTACACGCATGGCTGGGTGGTGTTACACGCATGGCTGGGTGGTGTTACACGCATGGCTGGGTGGTGTTACACGCATGGCTGGGTGGTGTTACACGCATGGCTGGGTGGTGTTACACGCATGGCTGGGTGGTGTTACACGCATGGCTGGGTGGTGTTACTCGCATGGCTGGGTGGTGTTACTCGCATGGCTGGGTGGTGTTACACGCATGGCTGGGTGGTGTTACTCGCATGGCTGGGTGGTGTTACTCGCATGGCTGGGTGGTGTTACACGCATGGCTGGGTGGTGTTACACGCATGGCTGGGTGGTGTTACACGCATGGCTGGGTGGTGTTACTCGCATGGCTGGGTGGTGTTACACACATGGCTGGGTGGTGTTACACGCATGGCTGGGTGGTGTTACACGCATGGCTGGGTGGTGTTACTCGCATGGCTGGGTGGTGTTACACGCATGGCTGGGTGGTGTTACACGCATGGCTGGGTGGTGTTACACGCATGGCTGGGTGGTGTTACACGCATGGCTGGGTGGTGTTACTCGCATGGCTGGGTGGTGTTACACGCATGGCTGGGTGGTGTTACTCGCATGGCTGGGTGGTGTTACTCGCATGGCTGGGTGGTGTTACTCGCATGGCTGGGTGGTGTTACACGCATGGCTGGGTGGTGTTACACGCATGGCTGGGTGGTGTTACACGCATGGCTGGGTGGTGTTACTCGCATGGCTGGGTGGTGTTACACGCATGGCTGGGTGGTGTTACACGCATGGCTGGGTGGTGCTACACGCATGGCTGGGTGGTGTTACACGCATGGCTGGGTGGTGTTACACGCATGGCTGGGTGGTGTTACACGCATGGCTGGGTGGTGTTACACGCATGGCTGGGTGGTGTTACTCACTCGCATGGCTGGGTGGTGTTACTCGCATGGCTGGGTGGTGTTACACGCATGGCTGGGTGGTGTTACACGCATGGCTGGGTGGTGTTACACGCATGGATGGGTGGTGTTACACGCATGGCTGGGTGGTGTTACACGCATGGCTGGGTGGTGTTACACGCATGGCTGGGTGGTGTTACACGCATGGCTGGGTGGTGTTACACGCATGGCTGGGTGGTGTTACACGCATGGCTGGGTGGTGTTACACGCATGGCTGGGTGGTGTTACACGCATGGCTGGGTGGTGTTACACGCATGGCTGGGTGGTGTTACACGCATGGCTGGGTGGTGTTACTCACATGGCTGGGTGGTGTTACTCGCATGGCTGGGTGGTGTTACACGCATGGCTGGGTGGTGTTACACGCATGGCTGGGTGGTGTTACACGCATGGCTGGGTGGTGTTACACGCATGGCTGGGTGGTGTTACACGCATGGCTGGGTGGTGTTACACGCATGGCTGGGTGGTGTTACACGCATGGCTGGGTGGTGTTACACGCATGGCTAAGTGGTGTTACTCGCATAGCTGGGCGGTGTTACACGCATGGCTGGGTGGTGTTACACGCATGGCTGGGTGGTGTTACACGCATGGCTGGGTGGTGTTACACGCATGGCTGGGTGGTGTTACTCGCATGGCTGGGTGGTGTTACACGCATGGCTGGGTGGTGTTACACGCATGGCTGGGTGGTCTTACACGCATGGCTGGGTGGTGTTACACGCATGGCTGGGTGGTGTTACACGCATGGCTGGGTGGTGTTACACGCATGGCTGGGTGGTGTTACACGCATGGCTGGGTGGTGTTACACGCATGGCTGGGTGGTGTTACACGCATGGCTGGGTGGTGTTACTCGCATGGCTGGGTGGTGTTACTCGCATGGCTGGGTGGTGTTACACGCATGGCTGGGTGGTGTTACTCGCATGGCTGGGTGGTGTTACTCGCATGGCTGGGTGGTGTTACACGCATGGCTGGGTGGTGTTACACGCATGGCTGGGTGGTGTTACACGCATGGCTGGGTGGTGTTACTCGCATGGCTGGGTGGTGTTACACACATGGCTGGGTGGTGTTACACGCATGGCTGGGTGGTGTTACACGCATGGCTGGGTGGTGTTACTCGCATGGCTGGGTGGTGTTACACGCATGGCTGGGTGGTGTTACACGCATGGCTGGGTGGTGTTACACGCATGGCTGGGTGGTGTTACACGCATGGCTGGGTGGTGTTACTCGCATGGCTGGGTGGTGTTACACGCATGGCTGGGTGGTGTTACTCGCATGGCTGGGTGGTGTTACTCGCATGGCTGGGTGGTGTTACTCGCATGGCTGGGTGGTGTTACACGCATGGCTGGGTGGTGTTACACGCATGGCTGGGTGGTGTTACACGCATGGCTGGGTGGTGTTACTCGCATGGCTGGGTGGTGTTACACGCATGGCTGGGTGGTGTTACACGCATGGCTGGGTGGTGCTACACGCATGGCTGGGTGGTGTTACACGCATGGCTGGGTGGTGTTACACGCATGGCTGGGTGGTGTTACACGCATGGCTGGGTGGTGTTACACGCATGGCTGGGTGGTGTTACTCACTCGCATGGCTGGGTGGTGTTACTCGCATGGCTGGGTGGTGTTACACGCATGGCTGGGTGGTGTTACACGCATGGCTGGGTGGTGTTACACGCATGGCTGGGTGGTGTTACTCACATGGCTGGGTGGTGTTACTCGCATGGCTGGGTGGTGTTACACGCATGGCTGGGTGGTGTTACTCGCATAGCTGGGCGGTGTTACACGCATGGCTGGGTGGTGTTACACGCATGGCTGGGTGGTGTTACTCGCATGGCTGGGTGGTGTTACACGCATGGCTGGGTGGTGTTACACGCATGGCTGGGTGGTGTTACACACATGGCTGGGTGGTGTTACACGCATGGCTGGGTGGTGTTACACGCATGGCTGGGTGGTGTTACACGCATGGCTGGGTGGTGTTACACGCATGGCTGGGTGGTGTTACTCGCATGGCTGGGTGGTGTTACTCGCATGGCTGGGTGGTGTTACACGCATGGCTGGGTGGTGTTACACGCATGGCTGGGTGGTGTTACACGCATGGCTGGGTGGTGTTACACGCATGGCTGGGTGGTGTTACTCGCATGGCTGGGTGGTGTTACTCGCATGGCTGGGTGGTGTTACACGCATGGCTGGGTGGTGTTACTCGCATGGCTGGGTGGTGTTACTCGCATGGCTGGGTGGTGTTACTCGCATGGCTGGGTGGTGTTACACGCATGGCTGGGTGGTGTTACACGCATGGCTGGGTGGTGTTACACGCATGGCTGGGTGGTGTTACTCACATGGCTGGGTGGTGTTACACGCATGGCTGGGTGGTGTTACACGCATGGCTGGGTGGTGTTACACGCATGGCTGGGTGGTGTTACACGCATGGCTGGGTGGTGTTACACGCATGGCTGGGTGGTGTTACACGCATGGCTGGGTGGTGTTACTCGCATGGCTGGGTGGTGTTACACGCATGGCTGGGTGGTGTTACACGCATGGCTGGGTGGTCTTACACGCATGGCTGGGTGGTGTTACACGCATGGCTGGGTGGTGTTACACGCATGGCTGGGTGGTGTTACTCGCATGGCTGGGTGGTGTTACACGCATGGCTGGGTGGTGTTACACGCATGGCTGGGTGGTGTTACACGCATGGCTGGGTGGTGTTACACGCATGGCTGGGTGGTGTTACACGCATGGCTGGGTGGTGTTACACGCATGGCTGGGTGGTGTTACACGCATGGCTGGGTGGTGTTACTCACTCGCATGGCTGGGTGGTCTTACACGCATGGCTGGGTGGTGTTACACGCATGGCTGGGTGGTGTTACACGCATGGCTGGGTGGTGTTACTCGCATGGCTGGGTGGTGTTACACGCATGGCTGGGTGGTGTTACACGCATGGCTGGGTGGTGTTACACGCATGGCTGGGTGGTGTTACACGCATGGCTGGGTGGTGTTACACGCATGGCTGGGTGGTGTTACTCACTCGCATGGCTGGGTGGTGTTACACGCATGGCTGGGTGGTGTTACACGCATGGCTGGGTGGTGTTACACGCATGGCTGGGTGGTGTTACACGCATGGCTGGGTGGTGTTACACGCATGGCTGGGTGGTGTTACACGCATGGCTGGGTGGTGTTACTCGCATGGCTGGGTGGTGTTACTCGCATGGCTGGGTGGTGTTACACGCATGGCTGGGTGGTGTTACTCGCATGGCTGGGTGGTGTTACTCGCATGGCTGGGTGGTGTTACTCGCATGGCTGGGTGGTTTTACTCGCATGGCTGGGTGGTGTTACACGCATGGCTGGGTGGTGTTACACGCATGGCTGGGTGGTGTTACTCGCATGGCTGGGTGGTGTTACTCGCATGGCTGGGTGGTGTTACACGCATGGCTGGGTGGTGTTACTCGCATGGCTGGGTGGTGTTACTCGCATGGCTGGGTGGTGTTACTCGCATGGCTGGGTGGTGTTACACGCATGGCTGGGTGGTGTTACACGCATGGCTGGGTGGTGTTACACGCATGGCTGGGTGGTGTTACACGCATGGCTGGGTGGTGTTACACGCATGGCTGGGTGGTCTTACACGTATGGCTGGGTGGTGTTACACGCATGGCTGGGTGGTGTTACACGCATGGCTGGGTGGTGTTACTCGCATGGCTGGGTGGTGTTACACGCATGGCTGGGTGGTGTTACACGCATGGCTGGGTGGTGTTACACGCATGGCTGGGTGGTGTTACACGCATGGCTGGGTGGTGTTACACGCATGGCTGGGTGGTGTTACACGCATGGCTGGGTGGTGTTACACGCATGGCTGGGTGGTGTTACACGCATGGCTGGGTGGTGTTACTCACTCGCATGGCTGGGTGGTCTTACACGCATGGCTGGGTGGTGTTACACGCATGGCTGGGTGGTGTTACACGCATGGCTGGGTGGTGTTACTCGCATGGCTGGGTGGTGTTACACGCATGGCTGGGTGGTGTTACACGCATGGCTGGGTGGTGTTACACGCATGGCTGGGTGGTGTTACACGCATGGCTGGGTGGTGTTACACGCATGGCTGGGTGGTGTTACACGCATGGCTGGGTGGTGTTACTCACTCGCATGGCTGGGTGGTGTTACTCGCATGGCTGGGTGGTGTTACACGCATGGCTGGGTGGTGTTACACGCATGGCTGGGTGGTGTTACACGCATGGCTGGGTGGTGTTACACGCATGGCTGGGTGGTGTTACTCACTCGCATGGCTGGGTGGTGTTACACGCATGGCTGGGTGGTGTTACACGCATGGCTGGGTGGTGTTACACGCATGGCTGGGTGGTGTTACACGCATGGCTGGGTGGTGTTACACGCATGGCTGGGTGGTGTTACACGCATGGCTGGGTGGTGTTACTCGCATGGCTGGGTGGTGTTACTCGCATGGCTGGGTGGTGTTACACGCATGGCTGGGTGGTGTTACTCGCATGGCTGGGTGGTGTTACTCGCATGGCTGGGTGGTGTTACTCGCATGGCTGGGTGGTTTTACTCGCATGGCTGGGTGGTGTTACACGCATGGCTGGGTGGTGTTACACGCATGGCTGGGTGGTGTTACTCGCATGGCTGGGTGGTGTTACACGCATGGCTGGGTGGTGTTACACGCATGGCTGGGTGGTGTTACACGCATGGCTGGGTGGTGTTACTCACTCGCATGGCTGGGTGGTGTTACTCGCATGGCTGGGTGGTGTTACACGCATGGCTGGGTGGTGTTACACGCATGGCTGGGTGGTGTTACACGCATGGCTGGGTGGTGTTACACGCATGGCTGGGTGGTGTTACTCGCATGGCTGGGTGGTGTTACTCGCATGGCTGGGTGGTGTTACACGCATGGCTGGGTGGTGTTACTCGCATGGCTGGGTGGTGTTACACGCATGGCTGGGTGGTGTTACACGCATGGCTGGGTGGTGTTACACGCATGGCTGGGTGGTGTTACACGCATGGCTGGGTGGTGTTACACGCATGGCTGGGTGGTGTTACTCACTCGCATGGCTGGGTGGTGTTACACGCATGGCTGGGTGGTGTTACACGCATGGCTGGGTGGTGTTACACACATGGCTGGGTGGTGTTACACGCATGGCTGGGTGGTGTTACACGCATGGCTGGGTGGTGTTACACGCATGGCTGGGTGGTGTTACTCGCATGGCTGGGTGGTGTTACTCGCATGGCTGGGTGGTGTTACTCGCATGGCGGGGTGGTGTTACACGCATGGCTGGGTGGTGTTACACGCATGGCTGGGTGGTGTTACTCGCATAGCTGGGTGGTGTTACACGCATGGCTGGGCGGTGTTACACGCATGGCTGGGCGGTGTTACACGCATGGCTGGGTGGTGTTACACGCATGGCTGGGTGGTGTTACTCGCATAGCTGGGCGGTGTTACACGCATGGCTGGGTGGTGTTACACGCATGGCTGGGTGGTGTTACACGCATGGCTGGGTGGTGTTACTCGCATTGCTGGGTGGTGTTACACGCATGGCTGGGTGGTGTTACACGCATGGCTGGGTGGTGTTACACACATGGCTGGGTGGTGTTACACGCATGGCTGGGTGGTGTTACACGCATGGCTGGGTGGTGTTACACGCATGGCTGGGTGGTGTTACACGCATGGCTGGGTGGTGTTACTCACATGGCTGGGTGGTGTTACACGCATGGCTGGGTGGTGTTACTCGCATAGCTGGGTGGTGTTACACGCATGGCTGGGTGGTGTTACACGCATGGCTGGGTGGTGTTACACGCATGGCTGGGTGGTGTTACACGCATGGCTGGGTGGTGTTACACGCATGGCTGGGTGGTGTTACTCGCATGGCTGGGTGGTGTTACTCGCATGGCTGGGTGGTGTTACTCGCATGGCTGGGTGGTGTTACTCGCATAGCTGGGCGGTGTTAAACGCATGGCTGGGCGGTGTTAAACGCATGGCTGGGTGGTGTGACACGCATGGCTGGGTGGTGTTACACGCATGGCTGGGTGGTGTTACACGCATGGCTGGGTGGTGTTACTCGCATGGCTGGGTGGTGTTACTCGCATGGCTGGGTGGTGTTACACGCATGGCTGGGTGGTGTTACACGCATGGCTGGGTGGTGTTACACGCATGGCTGGGTGGTGTTACACGCATGGCTGGGTGGTGTTACACGCATGGCTGGGTGGTGTTACTCACTCGCATGGCTGGGTGGTGTTACTCGCATGGCTGGGTGGTGTTACTCGCATGGCTGGGTGGTGTTACACGCATGGCTGGGTGGTGTTACACGCATGGCTGGGTGGTGTTACACGCATGGCTGGGTGGTGTTACACGCATGGCTGGGTGGTGTTACACGCATGGCTGGGTGGTGTTACACGCATGGCTGGGTGGTGTTACACGCATGGCTGGGTGGTGTTACTCGCATGGCTGGGTGGTGTTACTCGCATGGCTGGGTGGTGTTACTCGCATGGCTGGGTGGTGTTACTCGCATAGCTGGGTGGTGTTACACGCATGGCTGGATGGTGTTACACGCATGGCTGGGTGGTGTTACACGCATGGCTGGGTGGTGTTACACGCATGGCTGGGTGGTGTTACACGCATGGCTGGGTGGTGTTACACGCATGGCTGGGTGGTGTTACACGCATGGCTGGGTGGTGTTACACGCATGGCTGGGTGGTGTTACACGCATGGCTGGGTGGTCTTACACGCATGGCTGGGTGGTGTTACACGCATGGCTGGGTGGTGTTACACGCATGGCTGGGTGGTGTTACTACGCATGGCTGGGTGGTGTTACACGCATGCCTGGGTGGTGTTACACGCATGGCTGGGTGGTGTTACACGCATGGCTGGGTGGTGTTACACGCATGGCTGGGTGGTGTTACACGCATGGCTGGGTGGTGTTACACGCATGGCTGGGTGGTGTTACACGCATGGCTGGGTGGTGTTACACGCATGGCTGGGTGGTGTTACTCACTCGCATGGCTGGGTGGTCTTACACGCATGGCTGGGTGGTGTTACACGCATGGCTGGGTGGTGTTACACGCATGGCTGGGTGGTGTTACTCGCATGGCTGGGTGGTGTTACACGCATGGCTGGGTGGTGTTACACGCATGGCTGGGTGGTGTTACACGCATGGCTGGGTGGTGTTACACGCATGGCTGGGTGGTGTTACACGCATGGCTGGGTGGTGTTACTCACTCGCATGGCTGGGTGGTGTTACTCGCATGGCTGGGTGGTGTTACACGCATGGCTGGGTGGTGTTACAGGCATGGCTGGGGGGTGTTACACGCATGGCTGGGTGGTGTTACTCGCATGGCTGGGTGGTGTTACACGCATGGCTGGGTGGTGTTACTCGCATGGCTGGGTGGTGTTACTCGCATGGCTGGGTGGTGTTACTCGCATGGCTGGGTGGTGTTACACGCATGGCTGGGTGGTGTTACACGCATGGCTGGGTGGTGTTACACGCATGGCTGGGTGGTGTTACTCGCATGGCTGGGTGGTGTTACACGCATGGCTGGGTGGTGTTACACGCATGGCTGGGTGGTGTTAGACGCATGGCTGGGTGGTGTTACACGCATGGCTGGGTGGTGTTACACGCATGGCTGGGTGGTGTTACTCGCATAGCTGGGCGGTGTTACTCGCATGGCTGGGTGGTGTTACACGCATGGCTGGGTGGTGTTACACGCATGGCTGGGTGGTGTTACACGCACGGCTGGGTGGTGTTACTCGCATGGCTGGGTGGTGTTACACGCATGGCTGGGTGGTGTTACTCGCATGGCTGGGTGGTGTTACTCGCATGGCTGGGTGGTGTTACACGCATGGCTGGGTGGTGTTACACGCATGGCTGGGTGGTGTTACACGCATGGCTGGGTGGTGTTACACGCATGGCTGGGTGGTGTTACACGCATGGCTGGGTGGTGTTACTCGCATAGCTGGGTGGTGTTACTCGCATGGCTGGGTGGTGTTACACGCATGGCTGGGTGGTGTTACTCGCATAGCTGGGCGGTGTTACACGCATGGCTGGGTGGTGTTACACGCATGGCTGGGGGGTGTTACACGCATGGCTGGGTGGTGTTACTCGCATGGCTGGGTGGTGTTACACGCATGGCTGGGTGGTGTTACTCGCATGGCTGGGTGGTGTTACTCGCATGGCTGGGTGGTGTTACTCGCATGGCTGGGTGGTGTTACACGCATGGCTGGGTGGTGTTACACGCATGGCTGGGTGGTGTTACACGCATGGCTGGGTGGTGTTACTCGCATGGCTGGGTGGTGTTACACGCATGGCTGGTTGGTGTTACACGCATGGCTGGGTGGTGTTACACGCATGGCTGGGTGGTGTTACTCGCATAGCTGGCCGGTGTTACACGCATGGCTGGGTGGTGTTACACGCATGGCTGGGTGGTGTTACACGCACGGCTGGGTGGTGTTACTCGCGTGGCTGGGTGGTGTTACACGCATGGCTGGGTGGTGTTACTCGCATGGCTGGGTGGTGTTACTCGCATGGCTGGGTGGTGTTACTCGCATGGCTGGGTGGTGTTACACGCATGGCTGGGTGGTGTTACACGCATGGCTGGGTGGTGTTACTCGCATGTCTGGGTGGTGTTACACGCATGGCTGGGTGGTGTTACTCGCATGGCTGGGTGGTGTTACTCGCATGGCTGGGTGGTGTTACTCGCATGGCTGGGTGGTGTTACTCGCATGGCTGGGTGGTGTTACTCGCATGGCTGGGTGGTGTTACACGCATGGCTGGGTGGTGTTACACGCATGGCTGGGTGGTGTTACACGCATGGCTGGGTGGTGTTACTCGCATGGCTGGGTGGTGTTACACGCATGGCTGGGTGGTGTTACACGCATGGCTGGGTGGTGTTACACGCATGGCTGGGTGGTGTTACACGCATGGCTGGGTGGTGTTACTCGCATAGCTGGGTGGTGTTACTCGCATGGCTGGGTGGTGTTACACGCATGGCTGGGTGGTGTTACTCGCATAGCTGGGCCGTGTTACACGCATGGCTGGGTGGTGTTACACGCATGGCTGGGGGGTGTTACACGCATGGCTGGGTGGTGTTACTCGCATGGCTGGGTGGTGTTACACGCATGGCTGGGTGGTGTTACTCGCATGGCTGGGTGGTGTTACTCGCATGGCTGGGTGGTGTTACTCGCATGGCTGGGTGGTGTTACACGCATGGCTGGGTGGTGTTACACGCATGGCTGGGTGGTGTTACACGCATGGCTGGGTGGTGTTACTCGCATGGCTGGGTGGTGTTACACGCATGGCTGGGTGGTGTTACACGCATGGCTGGGTGGTGTTACACGCATGGCTGGGTGGTGTTACTCGCATAGCTGGCCGGTGTTACACGCATGGCTGGGTGGTGTTACACGCATGGCTGGGTGGTGTTACACGCACGGCTGGGTGGTGTTACTCGCATGGCTGGGTGGTGTTACACGCATGGCTGGGTGGTGTTACTCGCATGGCTGGGTGGTGTTACTCGCATGGCTGGGTGGTGTTACTCGCATGGCTGGGTGGTGTTACACGCATGGCTGGGTGGTGTTACACGCATGGCTGGGTGGTGTTACACGCATGGCTGGGTGGTGTTACTCGCATGGCTGGGTGGTGTTACTCGCATGGCTGGGTGGTGTTACTCGCATGGCTGGGTGGTGTTACTCGCATGGCTGGGTGGTGTTACACGCATGGCTGGGTGGTGTTACACGCATGGCTGGGTGGTGTTACACGCATGGCTGGTTGGTGTTACTCGCATGGCTGGGTGGTGTTACACGCATGGCTGGGTGGTGTTACACGCATGGCTGGGTGGTGTTACACGCATGGCTGGGTGGTCTTACACGCATGGCTGGGTGGTGTTACACGCATGGCTGGGTGGTGTTACTCGCATGGCTGGGTGGTGTTACACGCATGGCTGGGTGGTGTTACTCGCATGGCTGGTTGGTGTTACTCGCATGGCTGGGTGGTGTTACTCGCATGGCTGGGTGGTGTTACACGCATGGCTGGGTGGTGTTACACGCATGGCTGGGTGGTGTTACTCGCATGGCTGGGTGGTTTTACACGCATGGCTGGGTGGTGTTACTCGCATGGCTGGGTGGTGTTACTCGCATGGCTGGGTGGTGTTACTCGCATGGCTGGGTGGTGTTACACGCATGGCTGGGTGGTCTTACACGCATGGCTGGGTGGTGTTACACGCATGGTGGGTGGTGTTACTCGCATGGCTGGGTGGTGTTACACGCATGGCTGGGTGGTGTTACACGCATGGCTGGGTGGTGTTACACGCATGGCTGGGTGGTGTTACTCACTCGCATGGCTGGGTGGTGTTACTCGCATGGCTGGGTGGTGTTACACGCATGGCTGGGTGGTGTTACACGCATGGCTGGGTGGTGTTACACGCATGGCTGGGTGGTGTTACACGCATGGCTGGGTGGTGTTACACGCATGGCTGGGTGGTGTTACTCGCATGGCTGGGTGGTGTTACTCGCATGGCTGGGTGGTGTTACTCGCATGGCTGGGTGGTGTTACACGCATGGCTGGGTGGTGTTACACGCATGGCTGGGTGGTGTTACACGCATGGCTGGGTGGTGTTACACGCATGGCTGGGTGGTGTTACACGCATGGCTGGGTGGTGTTACTCGCATAGCTGGGTGGTGTTACTCGCATGGCTGGGTGGTGTTACACGCATGGCTGGGTGGTGTTACTCGCATGGCTGGGTGGTGTTACACGTATGGCTGGGTGGTGTTACTCGCATGGCTGGGTGGTGTTACTCGCATGGCTGGGTGGTGTTACACGCATGGCTGGGTGGTGTTACTCGCATGGCTGGGTGGTGTTACTCGCATGGCTGGGTGGTGTTACACGCATGGCTGGGTGGTGTTACACGCATGGCTGGGTGGTGTTATTCGCATGGCTGGGTGGTGTTACAGGCATGGCTGGGTGGTGTTACTCGCATGGCTGGGTGGTGTTACTCGCATGGCTGGGTGGTGTTACACGCATGGCTGGGTGGTGTTACTCGCATGGCTGGGTGGTGTTACTCGCATGGCTGGGTGGTGTTACACGCATGGCTGGGTGGTGTTACACGCATGGCTGGGTGGTGTTACACGCATGGCTGGGTGGTGTTACTCGCATGGCTGGGTGGTGTTACACGCATGGCTGGGTGGTGTTACACGCATGGCTGGGTGGTGTTACTCGCATGGCTGGGTGGTGTTACTCGCATAGCTGGGTGGTGTTACTCGCATGGCTGGGTGGTGTTACACGCATGGCTGGGTGGTGTTACTCGCATGGCTGGGTGGTGTTACACGTATGGCTGGGTGGTGTTACTCGCATGGCTGGGTGGTGTTACTCGCATGGCTGGGTGGTGTTACACGCATGGCTGGGTGGTGTTACACGCATGGCTGGGTGGTGTTACACGCATGGCTGGGTGGTGTTACTCGCATGGCTGGGTGGTGTTACACGCATGGCTGGGTGGTGTTACACGCATGGCTGGGTGGTGTTACTCGCATGGCTGGGTGGTGTTACACGCATGGCTGGGTGGTGTTACACGCATGGCTGGGTGGTGTTACACGCATGGCTGGGTGGTGTTACACGCATGGCTGGGTGGTGTTACACGCATGGCTGGGTGGTGTTACACGCATGGCTGGGTGGTGTTACTCGCATGGCTGGGTGGTGTTACACGCATGGCTGGGTGGTGTTACACGCATGGCTGGGTGGTGTTACACGCATGGCTGGGTGGTGTTACACGCATGGCTGGGTGGTGTTACACGCATGGCTGGGTGGTGTTACTCGCATGGCTGGGTGGTGTTACACGCATGGCTGGGTGGTGTTACACGCATGGCTGGGTGGTGTTACTCGCATGGCTGGGTGGTGTTACACGCATGGCTGGGTGGTGATACTCGCATGGCTGGGTTGTGTTACTCGCATGGCTGGGTGGTGTTACACGCATGGCTGGGTGGTGTTACACGCATGGCTGGGTGGTGTTACTCGCATGGCTGGGTGGTGTTACACGCATGGCTGGGTGGTGTTACTCGCATAGCTGGGTGGTGTTACACGCATGGCTGGGTGGTGTTACTCGCATGGCTGGGTGGTGTTACACGCATGGCTGGGTGGTGTTACACGCATGGCTGGGTGGTGTTACACGCATGGCTGGGTGGTGTTACTCGCATGGCTGGGTGGTGTTACACGCATGGCTGGGTGGTGTTACACGCATGGCTGGGTGGTGTTACTCGCATGGCTGGGTGGTGTTACACGCATGGCTGGGTGGTGTTACTCGCATGGCTGGGTGGTGTTACACGCATGGCTGGGTGGTGTTACACGCATGGCTGGGTGGTGTTACTCGCATGGCTGGGTGGTGTTACACGTATGGCTGGGTGGTGTTACTCGCATGGCTGGGTGGTGTTACTCGCATGGCTGGGTGGTGTTACACGCATGGCTGGGTGGTGTTACACGCATGGCTGGGTGGTGTTACACGCATGGCTGGGTGGTGTTACTCGCATGGCTGGGTGGTGTTACACGCATGGCTGGGTGGTGTTACACGCATGGCTGGGTGGTGTTACTCGCATGGCTGGGTGGTGTTACACGCATGGCTGGGTGGTGTTACACGCATGGCTGGGTGGTGTTACACGCATGGCTGGGTGGTGTTACACGCATGGCTGGGTGGTGTTACACGCATGGCTGGGTGGTGTTACACGCATGGCTGGGTGGTGTTACTCGCATGGCTGGGTGGTGTTACACGCATGGCTGGGTGGTGTTACACGCATGGCTGGGTGGTGTTACACGCATGGCTGGGTGGTGTTACTCGCATGGCTGGGTGGTGTTACACGCATGGCTGGGTGGTGTTACACGCATGGCTGGGTGGTGTTACTCGCATGGCTGGGTGGTGTTACACGCATGGCTGGGTGGTGATACACGCATGGCTGGGTGGTGTTACACGCATGGCTGGGTGGTGTTACTCGCATAGCTGGCCGGTGTTACACGCATGGCTGGGTGGTGTTACACGCATGGCTGGGTGGTGTTACACGCACGGCTGGGTGGTGTTACTCGCATGGCTGGGTGGTGTTACACGCATGGCTGGGTGGTGTTACTCGCATGGCTGGGTGGTGTTACTCGCATGGCTGGGTGGTGTTACTCGCATGGCTGGGTGGTGTTACACGCATGGCTGGGTGGTGTTACACGCATGGCTGGGTGGTGTTACACGCATGGCTGGGTGGTGTTACTCGCATGGCTGGGTGGTGTTACTCGCATGGCTGGGTGGTGTTACTCGCATGGCTGGGTGGTGTTACTCGCATGGCTGGGTGGTGTTACTCGCATGGCTGGGTGGTGTTACACGCATGGCTGGGTGGTGTTACACGCATGGCTGGGTGGTGTTACACGCATGGCTGGTTGGTGTTACTCGCATGGCTGGGTGGTGTTACACGCATGGCTGGGTGGTGTTACACGCATGGCTGGGTGGTGTTACACGCATGGCTGGGTGGTCTTACACGCATGGCTGGGTGGTGTTACACGCATGGCTGGGTGGTGTTACTCGCATGGCTGGGTGGTGTTACACGCATGGCTGGGTGGTGTTACTCGCATGGCTGGTTGGTGTTACTCGCATGGCTGGGTGGTGTTACTCGCATGGCTGGGTGGTGTTACACGCATGGCTGGGTGGTGTTACACGCATGGCTGGGTGGTGTTACTCGCATGGCTGGGTGGTTTTACACGCATGGCTGGGTGGTGTTACTCGCATGGCTGGGTGGTGTTACTCGCATGGCTGGGTGGTGTTACTCGCATGGCTGGGTGGTGTTACACGCATGGCTGGGTGGTCTTACACGCATGGCTGGGTGGTGTTACACGCATGGTGGGTGGTGTTACTCGCATGGCTGGGTGGTGTTACACGCATGGCTGGGTGGTGTTACACGCATGGCTGGGTGGTGTTACACGCATGGCTGGGTGGTGTTACTCACTCGCATGGCTGGGTGGTGTTACTCGCATGGCTGGGTGGTGTTACACGCATGGCTGGGTGGTGTTACACGCATGGCTGGGTGGTGTTACACGCATGGCTGGGTGGTGTTACACGCATGGCTGGGTGGTGTTACACGCATGGCTGGGTGGTGTTACTCGCATGGCTGGGTGGTGTTACTCGCATGGCTGGGTGGTGTTACTCGCATGGCTGGGTGGTGTTACACGCATGGCTGGGTGGTGTTACACGCATGGCTGGGTGGTGTTACACGCATGGCTGGGTGGTGTTACACGCATGGCTGGGTGGTGTTACACGCATGGCTGGGTGGTGTTACTCGCATAGCTGGGTGGTGTTACTCGCATGGCTGGGTGGTGTTACACGCATGGCTGGGTGGTGTTACTCGCATGGCTGGGTGGTGTTACACGTATGGCTGGGTGGTGTTACTCGCATGGCTGGGTGGTGTTACTCGCATGGCTGGGTGGTGTTACACGCATGGCTGGGTGGTGTTACTCGCATGGCTGGGTGGTGTTACTCGCATGGCTGGGTGGTGTTACACGCATGGCTGGGTGGTGTTACACGCATGGCTGGGTGGTGTTATTCGCATGGCTGGGTGGTGTTACAGGCATGGCTGGGTGGTGTTACTCGCATGGCTGGGTGGTGTTACTCGCATGGCTGGGTGGTGTTACACGCATGGCTGGGTGGTGTTACTCGCATGGCTGGGTGGTGTTACTCGCATGGCTGGGTGGTGTTACACGCATGGCTGGGTGGTGTTACACGCATGGCTGGGTGGTGTTACACGCATGGCTGGGTGGTGTTACTCGCATGGCTGGGTGGTGTTACACGCATGGCTGGGTGGTGTTACACGCATGGCTGGGTGGTGTTACTCGCATGGCTGGGTGGTGTTACTCGCATAGCTGGGTGGTGTTACTCGCATGGCTGGGTGGTGTTACACGCATGGCTGGGTGGTGTTACTCGCATGGCTGGGTGGTGTTACACGTATGGCTGGGTGGTGTTACTCGCATGGCTGGGTGGTGTTACTCGCATGGCTGGGTGGTGTTACACGCATGGCTGGGTGGTGTTACACGCATGGCTGGGTGGTGTTACACGCATGGCTGGGTGGTGTTACTCGCATGGCTGGGTGGTGTTACACGCATGGCTGGGTGGTGTTACACGCATGGCTGGGTGGTGTTACTCGCATGGCTGGGTGGTGTTACACGCATGGCTGGGTGGTGTTACACGCATGGCTGGGTGGTGTTACACGCATGGCTGGGTGGTGTTACACGCATGGCTGGGTGGTGTTACACGCATGGCTGGGTGGTGTTACACGCATGGCTGGGTGGTGTTACTCGCATGGCTGGGTGGTGTTACACGCATGGCTGGGTGGTGTTACACGCATGGCTGGGTGGTGTTACACGCATGGCTGGGTGGTGTTACACGCATGGCTGGGTGGTGTTACACGCATGGCTGGGTGGTGTTACTCGCATGGCTGGGTGGTGTTACACGCATGGCTGGGTGGTGTTACACGCATGGCTGGGTGGTGTTACTCGCATGGCTGGGTGGTGTTACACGCATGGCTGGGTGGTGATACTCGCATGGCTGGGTTGTGTTACTCGCATGGCTGGGTGGTGTTACACGCATGGCTGGGTGGTGTTACACGCATGGCTGGGTGGTGTTACTCGCATGGCTGGGTGGTGTTACACGCATGGCTGGGTGGTGTTACTCGCATAGCTGGGTGGTGTTACACGCATGGCTGGGTGGTGTTACTCGCATGGCTGGGTGGTGTTACACGCATGGCTGGGTGGTGTTACACGCATGGCTGGGTGGTGTTACACGCATGGCTGGGTGGTGTTACTCGCATGGCTGGGTGGTGTTACACGCATGGCTGGGTGGTGTTACACGCATGGCTGGGTGGTGTTACTCGCATGGCTGGGTGGTGTTACACGCATGGCTGGGTGGTGTTACTCGCATGGCTGGGTGGTGTTACACGCATGGCTGGGTGGTGTTACACGCATGGCTGGGTGGTGTTACTCGCATGGCTGGGTGGTGTTACACGTATGGCTGGGTGGTGTTACTCGCATGGCTGGGTGGTGTTACTCGCATGGCTGGGTGGTGTTACACGCATGGCTGGGTGGTGTTACACGCATGGCTGGGTGGTGTTACACGCATGGCTGGGTGGTGTTACCGCATGGCTGGGTGGTGTTACTCGCATGGCTGGGTGGTGTTACACGCATGGCTGGGTGGTGTTACACGCATGGCTGGGTGGTGTTACTCGCATGGCTGGGTGGTGTTACACGCATGGCTGGGTGGTGTTACACGCATGGCTGGGTGGTGTTACACGCATGGCTGGGTGGTGTTACACGCATGGCTGGGTGGTGTTACACGCATGGCTGGGTGGTGTTACACGCATGGCTGGGTGGTGTTACTCGCATGGCTGGGTGGTGTTACACGCATGGCTGGGTGGTGTTACACGCATGGCTGGGTGGTGTTACACGCATGGCTGGGTGGTGTTACTCGCATGGCTGGGTGGTGTTACACGCATGGCTGGGTGGTGTTACACGCATGGCTGGGTGGTGTTACTCGCATGGCTGGGTGGTGTTACACGCATGGCTGGGTGGTGATACTCGCATGGCTGGGTTGTGTTACTCGCATGGCTGGGTGGTGTTACACGCATGGCTGGGTGGTGTTACACGCATGGCTGGGTGGTGTTACTCGCATGGCTGGGTGGTGTTACACGCATGGCTGGGTGGTGTTACTCGCATAGCTGGGTGGTGTTACACGCATGGCTGGGTGGTGTTACACGCATGGCTGGGTGGTGTTACACGCATGGCTGGGTGGTGATACTCGCATGGCTGGGTTGTGTTACTCGCATGGCTGGGTGGTGTTACACGCATGGCTGGGTGGTGTTACACGCATGGCTGGGTGGTGTTACTCGCATGGCTGGGTGGTGTTACACGCATGGCTGGGTGGTGTTACACGCATGGCTGGGTGGTGTTACACGCATGGCTGGGTGGTGTTACACGCATGGCTGGGTGGTGTTACACGCATGGCTGGGTGGTGTTACTCGCATGGCTGGGTGGTGTTACTCGCATGGCTGGGTGGTGTTACACGCATGGCTGGGTGGTGTTACACGCATGGCTGGGTGGTGTTACACGCATGGCTGGGTGGTGTTACTCGCATGGCTGGGTGGTGTTACACGCATGGCTGGGTGGTGTTACACGCATGGCTGGGTGGTGTTACTCGCATGGCTGGGTGGTGTTACACGCATGGCTGGGTGGTGTTACACGCATGGCTGGGTGGTGTTACACGCATGGCTGGGTGGTGTTACACGCATGGCTGGGTGGTGTTACACGCATGGCTGGGTGGTGTTACACGCATGGCTGGGTGGTGTTACTCGCATGGCTGGGTGGTGTTACACGCATGGCTGGGTGGTGTTACACGCATGGCTGGGTGGTGTTACACGCATGGCTGGGTGGTGTTACACGCATGGCTGGGTGGTGTTACACGCATGGCTGGGTGGTGTTACTCGCATGGCTGGGTGGTGTTACACGCATGGCTGGGTGGTGTTACACGCATGGCTGGGTGGTGTTACTCGCATGGCTGGGTGGTGTTACACGCATGGCTGGGTGGTGATACTCGCATGGCTGGGTTGTGTTACTCGCATGGCTGGGTGGTGTTACACGCATGGCTGGGTGGTGTTACACGCATGGCTGGGTGGTGTTACTCGCATGGCTGGGTGGTGTTACACGCATGGCTGGGTGGTGTTACTCGCATAGCTGGGTGGTGTTACACGCATGGCTGGGTGGTGTTACTCGCATGGCTGGGTGGTGTTACACGCATGGCTGGGTGGTGTTACACGCATGGCTGGGTGGTGTTACACGCATGGCTGGGTGGTGTTACTCGCATGGCTGGGTGGTGTTACACGCATGGCTGGGTGGTGTTACACGCATGGCTGGGTGGTGTTACTCGCATGGCTGGGTGGTGTTACACGCATGGCTGGGTGGTGTTACTCGCATAGCTGGGTGGTGTTACTCGCATGGCTGGGTGGTGTTACACGCATGGCTGGGTGGTGTTACTCGCATGGCTGGGTGGTGTTACACGTATGGCTGGGTGGTGTTACTCGCATGGCTGGGTGGTGTTACTCGCATGGCTGGGTGGTGTTACACGCATGGCTGGGTGGTGTTACACGCATGGCTGGGTGGTGTTACACGCATGGCTGGGTGGTGTTACTCGCATGGCTGGGTGGTGTTACACGCATGGCTGGGTGGTGTTACACGCATGGCTGGGTGGTGTTACTCGCATGGCTGGGTGGTGTTACACGCATGGCTGGGTGGTGTTACACGCATGGCTGGGTGGTGTTACACGCATGGCTGGGTGGTGTTACACGCATGGCTGGGTGGTGTTACACGCATGGCTGGGTGGTGTTACACGCATGGCTGGGTGGTGTTACACGCATGGCTGGGTGGTGTTACACGCATGGCTGGGTGGTGTTACTCGCATGGCTGGGTGGTGTTACACGCATGGCTGGGTGGTGTTACACGCATGGCTGGGTGGTGTTACACGCATGGCTGGGTGGTGTTACTCGCATGCCTGGGTGGTGTTACACGCATGGCTGGGTGGTGTTACACGCATGGCTGGGTGGTGTTACTCGCATGGCTGGGTGGTGTTACACGCATGGCTGGGTGGTGATACTCGCATGGCTGGGTTGTGTTACTCGCATGGCTGGGTGGTGTTACACGCATGGCTGGGTGGTGTTACACGCATGGCTGGGTGGTGTTACTCGCATGGCTGGGTGGTGTTACACGCATGGCTGGGTGGTGTTACTCGCATAGCTGGGTGGTGTTACACGCATGGCTGGGTGGTGTTACACGCATGGCTGGGTGGTGTTACACGCATGGCTGGGTGGTGATACTCGCATGGCTGGGTTGTGTTACTCGCATGGCTGGGTGGTGTTACACGCATGGCTGGGTGGTGTTACACGCATGGCTGGGTGGTGTTACTCGCATGGCTGGGTGGTGTTACTCGCATGGCTGGGTGGTGTTACTCACATGGCTGGGTGGTGTTACTCGCATGGCTGGGTGGTGTTACTCGCATGGCTGGGTGGTGTTACTCGGGGTGTTACTCGCATGGCTGGGTGGTGTTACTACGCATGGCTGGGTGGTGTTACACGCATGGCTGGGTGGTGTTACACGCATGGCTGGGTGGTGTTACACGCATGGCTGGGTGGTGTTACACGCATGGCTGGGTGGTGTTACACGCATGGCTGGGTGGTGTTACTCGCACAGCTGACTGTCACCTTCCCGCGAATAGCACACGCATGCCGGTCCCAAGCTGGACCGGTTTCCTTTTCCTGCCTCCTGCCGCAGTACTACCCACACCACAGCAGCACACTAGACAGCAAAAGCGCTGTGCGTATAGGCAGCATAGATACCTTCCCCCGCAGTATGACTTGCTGCAGCACGCAGCGCCAGCAGCGATAGAAACGGCAGTGGCAGCAGGGGCGGGCTTACTTCACCACAGCCTACCATACCGCAACCTGCCATGCCTTTGTCATATCCCCTCTTTTCCCTGTCACCTCCCCTGTCCCACCCCACCTCCCTGTCCCCTCCCCCTGTCTCACCCCTTCCCCAACACAGCAAGGCCAGCACCAGCCATCAGAGGCGGAGTTCCTCTCTCTCATACTTTGCTGGTTCCTCTCTCACTGCGTTACCCCCATCCCAATTATCATCACCCTGTCTTTCCTTGCCGTCTGCGGAAGGTTCCGTGGCAGTGGCGCGCACTTCGCCTGACCCCACTAGTACGAGGACCTATCACGCCAGGCCAAGGCGCGCTCGCTCATTCCCCTGCAGCACCTCAGGAGGCCGCTGCAGTCCCCCTTGCCGAGGTTCGCCTAGGCATGGGCATGGTCACAGGTCCGGGTCTGGGCGGGTTGGGATGGGTTGGGTCGGGTTGCGTCGGGTCAGGTCGGGGGCAGTTGGCTCGGGCTAGATCGGGTGTGGTCAGGTCGGGTCTGGTGATGTCGGGTTGGGCCGGGGGTCAAGTGGTTCGGATCAAATCAGGCCAGGTACGGACGGGGAGGGTCCGGCGGGTCGGGGCAAGGCAAGTCGAGCGGGCCGGGCCAGGTTAGGTCGTGTTGGGTCGCATCGGGTCGGGTCGTGTTGCATCAGGTTGGTTTGGGGTTTGCTCATTTCTCTTCAGTATATGGAAGGTTTGCTGCATCCATGCTAAAGTTTGCCATACATTGTGCGGTGCAGCGCGGATGAGCCTGCGAGCAAGTTGCTAATACTGAAAACCATATTGCTGCTGCTGGGGGTAGGTGTAAGAGGGCAACAGGAGTGAGAGTGAATGAGTGCCTTGATAGCGTGCTCTGCCCACAGCCTACCGCACCACAACCTACCATACCACATTATAACCTACCACACGACAGTGTACCGCATTACAGCCTACTGCACCACAGACTTATTATACTTTAGTCTTATCCCCTCCCTTTCCCTGCCACCACCAATGTCCCACCACAGGAAGGCCAGTACGAGCCGTCAGAAGGGGAGTTGCGTGACAGCTGCTGGTTCAAGTCCTGGTTTAGATGATTGCATTGTGGTCCTTGTCGTCGCCCTCCCTACTCTTCTTTCAAATGGGTGAACTCCCTGTTGTCTTGTCCCCTCAACACTGCCACACCTCCATCTACCTCTCCTGGTCCCCAACTCCCATATGACCACCCCTTCTCCCTGCTTCTTTCTCTTTATTTGCTTGTGCTAGCCTAGCCCTCCCTCCCTCCCTCCCCTGCTCCGCCCCCCTCGCCCTCCCACTGTGCCCCAGCTGCCGCAACCTCACCTGTGCATTTCAGCCCTCTCCCTATGATCACCCCTTGTCCCCAGGTGAGTGGACTCCCCGCCACGTCCCCACTCCTGCACCCCCACCTGTGCCTTCAAGCCGTCACCCCAATAATCACCCCTTACCCATCTGCCCTTGTCTGTCCTCTTGCCCTCACTCCCTCCTGCTCCTACCCCGCTCTCCGCATGCAGATGAGTTGACTCACCTGAGTGGCCCCACTGCTGCTCTCCCACCTGTGCTTCCACGGCAACCGCTCGCCGTCCTCTTGATAACCTGCTATGGGTGGGGGAGCGGTGCCAAAAAGGTGAGGGGGAGGGTAGGGAGGTGAAATAGGAACGGAGGGGAGCGGAGAGGAAGGAAGGGGAGGAGAGTGAAGGGTAGGGCGGGGGGAGGGGAGGAGAGGGAAGGGGAGGGCAGGGGGGAGGAGAGAGGAGGTGAGGAGAGGGGAGGCCAACGTACCTACTCATGTATCCCCTCCCTCCTTGCTAGGCTGACGTACCTACCCACTCCCATTTTCCTCCTCTGTGTCTGGCTCCTCACCTTTCCCCTCCCATTCTACCTTCCCTTCCCATCTTCCCCCTTTATCCGTGTCTCTGGCTCTGGGTGTACGCGTGGTGGGGTCGGGTGTTACAGGCAGGTGCAAGCAGTGCGGCACAGTGGCTTGCATTGTGCGATACAACGGCCCGGGCAAGGTAACTTGTAACAGATTTGCCACACAGATATGTGGTATTATTATAGCGATGCCAGGCAGGGGTGACTAAAGTTTTCCAGTGAATCATCCGTGCGTTCTGAATCAGATTAACGCACAGCATGCGCGAACGGGCGTTGTGCCGTGCATGCTGGGAAGTAGATTCATATAATTTCCTGCAGTCATACCCCTTTGCTCGTTTACACTGCCCTCCATCGTTTTCTACTCCTCCTGCCCTCTTCCCTCATTCCGGCTCCTGCTTCCCTTTCTTCCTGCTGCCTCTGTCCCCTGGCCTCTCCAACCCCCTTCCGCTGGCTCCTCCTCCCCCCTTTCCCGCTGTTCCCACCTCCTCCATACCACTATCCTATTTTAAAATATACGCGTTTAGTGTATATTTGCGTATCGTATATTCGCCGGCGTACGCTTTTGGCTCAAATTTTGCGTAAGATTTTTAAGGCAGGGGAGTGACATTGAGGGGTGGGAGAGGAGGGGAGTGGAGGGGAGGGGAGGGGAGGGGAGGGGAGGGGAGGGGAGGGAGGGGAGGGGAGGGAAAGGGAGGGGATGGGAGGGGATGGGAGGGGAGGGGATGAGAGGGGATGGGAGGAGAAGGGAGGGGATGTGAGGGGAAGGGAGGGGATGGGAGGGGATGGGAGGGGAAGGGAGGGGATGGGAGGGGATGGGAGGGAAAGGGAGGGGATGGGAGGGGAATGGAGGGGATGGGAGGGGGAGGGAGGGGATGGGAGGGGATGGGAGGGGAAGGGAGGGGATGGGAGGGGAAGGGAGGGGATGGGAGGGGGAGGGAGGGGATGGGAGGGGAAGGGAGGGGATGGGAGGGGATGGGAGGGGAAGGGAGGGGATGGGAGGGGAAGGGAGGGGATGGGAGGGGATGGGAGGGGATGGGAGGGGAAGGGAGGGGATGGGAGGGGATGGGAGGGGATGGGAGGGGATGGGAGGGGAAGGGAGGGGGAGGGAGGGGGAGGGAGGGGATGGGAGGGGATGGGAGGGGATGGGAGGGGATGGGAGGGGATGGGAGGGGATGGGAGGAATGGGAGGGGATGGGAGGAATGGGAGGGGGAGGTAAGGGGCGAGTGGGGGAGAGGAGAGGGAGTGGAGAGGAAGACGGGAGGGAGAGAAGGAAGGAAGAGAGAGAGAGCTGCTCATGTGTGGAGTTCATTTTCGGCTCGAGAGAGCGAGAGAGAGAGAGGGAACCCCTTAGCCCTCTGCCCTCTGCCTCTTCCCTCTGGCCTCTTCCCTCCAGAGCTATTTAAGGGAGGGGCCTCTCTCCTGCTCCTCATTCTTCCGTGTGGAGTTCATTTTCGGCTCGAGAGAGCGAGAGAGAGAGAGGGAACCCCTTAGCCCTCTGCCCTCTGCCTCTTCCCTCTGGCCTCTTCCCTCCAGAGCTATTTAAGGGAGGGGCCTCTCTCCTGCTCCTCATTCTTCCGTGTGGAGTTCATTTTCGGCTCGCGCCGGCGGCCTTCGGCCGCGCGCTCCTGGTGGCAAGTAACAAGGCGTGGGACTAATATTTCGGGAATTACACACAAGCAACAGAAGCAAGGGAGGAGAGCTCAACAAAAGAGAGGACAGCATGCAGTTCTACACTAGGCGGAGGCCTACATCGTGTACGGCTCCGCCCCCGCCTCCTCCAACATCGAGCGCATGCACGCCGACATCGCAAGGAGGAGATGCGCCGAGGACTGAAGCGTCTCCAACGGGGTCCCGGCCTGAGCAGCCCCCACAAGATCCCCCACGTGGCGGGGGAAGGTACGGGCTAAGGGAGCTACCCCGGCGGGCGCATCCGACACGGGTGCCAACGGCGACTCGAGCGATCCTGCCAAAGTCACGCAGGATCCTCGGGATACTGGACCGAAACTGCCCGGACAGCTCCGCGTGGCCCCACACACCGCCAGCTGCAAGTTCGCCACCACCTCGCACGCCTCCGCCAGATTCAATGTCCGGCACATGGTCAGCATGGGGTCTCTCCCCGCGGGATTGGGGGGAGGTGCAGTCTGCACTTCGCGCGGAAACGCCGCCGGCCAGCCTGGAACACGGCCAACAGTCAAGCGCCCCGCGGAGAAGCCGGGAACCTGACGAGGGGAGTGATACTCGGGTCTCCCCACCCGCGCGGGCAGATACTCGGTCAGCGTCGGCGCGCGCAGGGGGCCCACCTGGCCGGGATCCGCGGCGAACGGGGGTCCATTCGTCACCTCGATGTGGACGTGAGTCGGCCCCCCGCTCGCCCGTGCCTGCCGCACCACATCCACGAACGTGTTCGCGGCGTGATCAAGAGCAGGATCCGGCTGGCGGCCATTCCCGCCACGCCCCCCGCCATTCCGCCGGCCACGCCGCCCTCCAGATCCAGCCGAATTCGGACGCGGGGGAGACTGCTCGCGGCGCCCTGAATTCCAGCGACGTCCAGGCGAACCCCTCCCCCGCGTCGCCGGAGGTTGACGAGGGGAGAGTTGCCCGGGGGATCGCGCTCGGGGTAAGCGCTGGTCTGTTCGACCACGAGGAGATGGGCGACGAGGAGACTGAGGCTGCGCAGGATTCCGCTGATCGCCCTCCCCGTGCTGAGGATGTTCGCGGCGCTCAGGAGACGGGCGGCGGGGAGAGGACTGCCGCGGAGGCTGACGCGGGGGCGACCGTCCGCGCTCCTGCCGCGGCGGACCGTCCGGGCGGTTCGACGCAACGCGCGCAGGGGCCCACGAGTACTCCGGTGAGGTGGGGCGCGCAGCGGGACGATGAGGAAGGGTCTGCACTCGCTCGAAGCGGCGGACGGGCTCGCTCGCGGAGGGGTGCGCAGGGACTCGCGGGCGAAGGCCGGCAGGTGCAGGCTCCGCCGGCGGCGCGCTCTCCGCGGATCCCTCTAATTCCGGATCCCGTCGCGCGGATGGATCCATCACGCCCGACAGCACAGCAGCCGACGCCAGCGCGCCGCCAAGTTGGGGACGAAGTTGACGGGGCGCCGCAGCCAGAACGCGGGGGTGCTGCGGGAGGAAGAAGACCACGAGGAATCCGCGTGGGACGCGGCAGCGGCCGCCGCGGACGCCGCGGAAATGGGAGAGGCCGTAGAGGAGGAGGAGCCCGTGGCTCAAATCGGCGCCGCACCGGCGCAAGCGGTTACGCGAGAAATGCGGAGAGGCTGATGCGTGAAGGCGCGGAAGACGGCGAGGAGGAGGTCAGCGAGGAGCCAGAGGTCGAAGTCGAGAATGAAGAAAGGGAAGGGGGTGACCCTGCTTTTAACCCTGAAAGGGAGGGGATATTGGAAGCTGAAGCCGAGGAAGATGAGGAGGAGTTGGAGCAGCTGCTTCGGGGGGCGGAGTTCCCGAACCAGCAGGCCCGTGGCGAACCTGTAAACCGAGCCACAGGTCGAAATCGAACCGCGGTGGGGAATCATGCAAGGGGGGGAAATCGAGCCGCGGCAGAAGACGAAATTGACTCTGCAACAGCCAATGAAAATTCTGCAGCCCCTAACCCAACCCCGCCAATGCTCAAACCTGACGACCTGGCGAAAAACACTGACCTTTTCGCCCTGGTTGCAGATTGGAATCTTGACCCGCTGCGCGACAGTCGCCAACCCCCGCTCGCTCGCCACCCCCCCAAGGACCTTCGCGACTCCTTCGCGATCTGTATGCTGACCCCGTTACTCCACCTGGCGACTAATCCCGAGTCCCCTGCGGGGTGGAAGCTTCTGACCTTTCTCCCGCGCTTACTCCTCCGCACTTCGTCAGCCCGCAAACCTGACTGGAGCGCAATGATGAACCGGCTCCTGCGATTTCGCCAAGGATTCTGGGCGAGCCTTTACGACGAAGCTGTACACGCGGTTTCTCTTCCTCCACAACCTCGCCACGCTCCTGACACAACGGGAATACTGGCAAGGGCGGAAGGCCTAGCGAAACGGGGTAACCTGTCAAAATCCCTTCAATCCCTCCAGGCCACCCCTGTGTCACCCGCCTCACCTGAAGTGTTGGAAGCCCTTACGGCGAGACATCCCTCGGCCTGCCAGCAGCTCCCCGATTGGTTACACTCCGCCACGGTAGAAGAGCCACCCGCTATTGAGGCACAAGACTTCAAACGCCTCCTCGCCAAGCTCCCCAACGGAGTTGGTGCCGGCCCCTCAGGAACCACCTTCGAACACGTCCGCGACGCAGCCTTAGGGAATGCCGGGGTGCTCACCCACCTCCTCGCCCTCACTAACACGGCGCTAGCAGGGAAACTCCCCTCAGTCGCGGGGGAGCTGCTCACGGCCTCCCGTCTGTTAGCTTTTACAAAACCCCAGGGAGGGATGCGGCCGATCGCGGTAGGGGAGTGCCTCCTCAGGATTATTGCAAAATCCGCCCTTTACCTGTCCGCGCCTGCAGCTCGGAGCCACTTTGCACCCCTTCAATACGGAGTAGCAGTAGCGGGGGGGATCGAAGCGGCTATCCATACCGCTCGCACATACCTGGAAGTACACCCTGGGGCAGTGGCGCTGCAGATTGACCTCGCGAACGCGTTTAACGCGGTGGAACGAAGGGCGGTGTTCGAGGGACTGAGAAACGAGGCTCTGAAGGATCTGATCCCCCTCGTCCGCCTATCCTATGGGACTCCCTCCGCGCTCTACCTCGACCACGACTTCGGCGCAACCCCGCTGCAGAGCGCCAGAGGAGTGCGCCAAGGGGACCCGCTCGGGCCCCTCCTGTTCGCGGCAAGTATCCACCCGTGCCTCGTGGACACGGCAGCCGCACACCCCCAAGTGGTCCTGCTGGCGTATGCTGATGACATCACGCTGCTCGGCGACGCCGCGGCCTGCACAGCGGCCTTTGACCACCTCACCGCCGCACTGGCCGCCCTTGGCCTGGTACACAACCCGACCAAGTGCGCGGCGTGGTCCGCCACAACAATCGACCCCTCTACAATGCCCCCAGGCATCTCCATCTCCGAAGAGGGACTGCAGATTCTCGGCAGCCCCATAGGCACACCCCAGGGCTGCGCGGAGTCTGTGAGAGAAAGATTGGCATCAGCTGCTGCACCGCTACCCCTGCTGGCCCAGATGGGCCCCCAGCTCAGTCTCCTCCTCCTCACTCGCTGCGTCAGCCGCCGAGCATCATTCCTGGCCAGAACCACCCCCCTCGAGGCCCTCCCTGAGGCTGAGTGGTCTGCCTGGGGGGAGCAGCTGCTGCACACCTTCCTGGATTCGGCCCACATCATGAGGCCGAGGAGTGCAAGGGAGAGGCGGAGGATTTGGCGGCAGGCGGCACTGCCTGTGACCTTGGGAGGTCTGGGCATCACTGACCCCGCCGTTGAAGGCAGCTACGCTTACCTTGCCTCCGTGATCAGCGCGGCGCACCTCCTACACACACTGAAGGACTCATTACACCCCGCCGTCGCCGCGCTCCTCCCCCTCCTAGACCCGACCCACGGCTCCCCACACGCGCTGCCAGCACGCCTCGCAGCGGCGGAGGCTGCCCTGCCCCCAGAAGCTCTCGAGGTGCTCCAGGCCGGGAAAGCTGACCCCAAGGGACTGAAGCTGCAGCAGAGCTTAGCGCTGGCGGTCCACACCCGCCGCTTCTTAAGAGTCATGCGCAATGCAAGGCGGATGCGCCCCAATCCCCGCTCTGGCCACGCGCAACGGGTGCAGTCGCTGCTTGGCCCTGGCGCGGGGGATTGGCTGTTAGCGATCCCGCTCACCCCCTCGCTCCGGATGGGCCCATCCCAGCTCTCAACGGCAGCTGCCTTCCGCCTAGGCCTCCCCCTCCCCGTGCCTAGACGTTGTGACTGCCGCTACCGCACCACCTTCCCCGATGACCGCCTCCCCAATCATCTCATGCGCTGCGAGAAGGGGAAAGGGCGGACAGCAACCCATCACGCCCTGCGGGATGAGATTGCGAACATTGGGGCAGAAGCGGGGTTTACGGTCCACAAGGAGACGTATGTCTACTCACTGGTTGAGAACCTAAAGGCGGATGTCACCATCCGTCATCCCCTGACCGGTGAGGTTTGGATGTGCGATGTGACCGTGACGGACCCGGTGTCACGCCAGGACGAGAACTGCAACCGTGCACCTGGATGGGCGGCAAGGGCGGCAGCAGCAAGGAAGGAGGAGAAGTACGCGCGGCGGAACGCGTGGGTGGGGTTCCACGCGCTCGCCGTGGAAACTTACGGCTACCCCTCGCCAGGGGTGATGGCTTACCTGCGGCAATGCGCGGAGCTGGCGGCGAAGCTGCGGTTCAACGCTGCGCCTACCTCCTACGAAGCGGCAAAGCTGTTGACTGAGTACCGCCAGCGCTGGAGTGTGTGCCTCCAGCGGGCGCAGGCCAACGCCCTCCGCACCAAGACCAATGAGGCCTTGGCGGCGGACGAGCTCGCCTTTAGAGGACCCATCATCCCTCTTAGCGAGGGACAGCTGCACCAGTTGATTGAGGCCCCGTTCGACCAGTAGGGTCGGACTTGGGGGGGGCCGAGTAGGTAGGGTGCTTATGGTAGTTAGAAGGCTAGTCGGTTGCTTGTTTGTGCTTGTGTTTGCATCTCGCCGGGGTTCGGCCCTCGCCCTCGGATTGGTTTCGCGAGGGGTTTCGCGAGCCAGGGCTGGGCCCGGGGTTGGGACCACGCTGCGTGGCGCTGGCGTGGCCGGGACCACCCCGCCAGCCCGCTCCGCCGCCCGGATCTCGCTAGGGACCTGGGAGGGGGCGGGGGACTCCCTCCCGCGTGCGGTTCCCAGCTGGGGGTCGCGACAGCCCTTGCATCGGCGTGCGGCCCTGGTGGGAACGGGTTCCCACCAGGAGGGGGACCTGGTGGGTTCGAAGCCACCAGGGCCCGGATGGACTGGGATGTTCATACGGCGCGGCTCGGGAAAAACCCCGCCCACGCCTGGGGATGCACGGGGCGCGGAGAAATCGCGGGGAGCGTGGGGCGAAGTCGGCCACCCAGGATCCCACCAGGTTTGGACCTAGCGCGGCCCTGCGTGGCTGAGTGAAACCCACCAGGCTGCCACCGAAGGCTCCGCGGCCCCCAGAAAACCGAAAGAACCCACCTCGTTCTTACGCGCCGATGCATGCGCGGCTCGGCGCGAAACGAACGTGATTGGTCGGCAACATTGACGAGCGGGACATCCCGCGCATGCAACCGCGAGTTCGCGACACCAAAGGAGTGCTACGACTGGTTGTTCTCTCTCGCAACTTATCGCGAACAAAAATCGCACAAGCATAGGTTCGTCAAGCGCACAGCGAGACCCGGTTCGGTTACAGCTGGCGCGATCTGGTAGGCTCCATGCCGGCTGACACGTGCCGCAATTTGAACGAGCCACACAGCTGTGTCTTCGTTTGGACGATGCGCGATCGCGGTAACGTGTCAAACACGTCCACGCAGTGTCCGGTCATTACGCCGAGGACGCCCACAGTTTCCACTTTCCGATCGCCAGTTGCACACCAAGCTCAACCCCCTCACGACCCACTGGGATTCACCAGACACCAGTATCGCGGCCGCGTTGTGTGCCGCGCTCGAATGTCCGCGAGCACATCGGTCGCGAGGTAGACGCGTCTAAGTCACACCCGGGTGGAGAAATAGTGACCGCGCATCATGTTGACGCACGCGGTGAATACGAGTAGGTGCAACCTCGCACGCCGCATGCATACCGTGAATCGCGTCGCGGCGCCAATACTTCACGACTCCGTCAATGCTTCGGGCAACACAACCGCGCATCAAATACATAATGCCGAACCACCCACCGCTCCCGTGCATGGGGTGAACGCGCTCAACCCCGCATGGAGCATCCCATACGGGCAGCCAGTGGTTTTTGGGTCCAGGACGCCCACGTTTCACCCACAGCAACTGGTCAACGGGCTCCACCTAGCACCGCGGCCACAAATACCGTTTGCGGCAGCGGGGGTCGCGTTACAAAATCAACCGGGTAATGGGGACGCGCAACCGTCCGTGCCTAGTAGCCAGCTCTTTGGGATGCCTGTGCGTGGCTTCGTAGGGCCGCAGTACTCGAACGTGGGATTCAGGTACGGGTACATCGGCGTTCAACCAAACCCCATGGTGCACGCACCCGCATCTGTAGTGACGCCTCCGGTCGCGCCGTCAACACCATTCCCCAGCGCGATTCATCCGGAAAGCCAGCCAGCTGTGCAAGCCCCGTCAGACCCTAGAGATGCATTAGTTGTCGGTTTGGACACACGAGCGCGAACAGACGGCCCATCATCGAACGTAGTTGCCGGTGGTTTAGGGCATGCGGTGAATGGTGGAGCGGGGATGAATGCACGCGTGCGTGCACATTCGCCGCCAATATGGAACGTGAACTCACTGTTTCCCGGAAACCCCGACGTCCACATCCGCACCCCCACGCATCCGATTGTAGAGTACGCGACTGGTGTAGGTGGGCAACCACAGGCAAACGCGGGGAACGCGGGGCGTGGAGCGGGTGCAAGCGGAAACGCGGTAAAGGGAAGAGGGACGGGTGCGAGGGGGAACGCGGGAGGAGGGACAGGGGAGAGAGGGAACGCGGATAGAGGGAGAGGTGCGATACGACGGGGTGGGAGAGCGAGCGCAGGACGTGCGACAGGTGTGGGAGCAAACAAGAATAGTGCGAACGGGCAGGGAGCGCATGGGGTGACAGGTAACAGCGGCAGGGGTAGCGGTGTTATCGCGAACGGCGGGTCAGGTAACGGGCCAGTTAATAGACCGCGTATAAGGAGGCGGAGAGTCGATGTAGTGCCGCACACGGCACGCAATGGCTCCCGGGAGGGGAGCGAGGGGACAAGCAATGAGGATGACGAGGACGGCGCTGACGATGCGGACGATAGTTGGAATGACGATGACGAAAACTACCTATCGAACTCGCTGTCCGCGCTCAACGAGGAGGAGGCGGAAGACAACGAACGGGTGCGGGGTACGCGGAGGGACATTGAGGTCCCTATCGCGGATTGGAACAGGCTAGGTGTGGACGACACGCCGGCCGCGAAACGAGAGATGTGCTACGGAATCCTCTACGGTGTCTCGGAGGCCACGCTGAAGAAGTATCGCGGTTGGGCCAACGAGTACAAGCGGTTCATGGCCCACGAGCTGCCTAAACTGGACGCGGGTAGGTTTGGTGATGAGGCCGCGCTGAGAAACGCGAACCCGGACGAGATTGGGGCCGCGCTCGAACAGAACATGGGTGGTGACTGGAAGATGGCGGAGGGCGACGAGCAGTGGTTCCACGGCCCTGAGACGAATCCGTGGCGCTTACGCAAATACGTGACCTTCCTCGCGAACGAGACAGTCGCGCAGGCGGACAGGATGGCCACACTCAAGCGGCCGCAGAAGACCTTGAAGAAGAGACGCCAGTGCACCCCAGCAATGCTGATGGGGCGTCTCAAGGCTTTGAACCTGCTCATCAAGCTGGACGGGGCGATCTTCAGGAAGCCTGTTCTGAACCTGCTGCGCGACTTTGCAGAGTGTCGCATCTGGGTCCGCGTTCAAGTACGCGACCAATACAAGCGGTTTATCGCGTAAGTATACGTTCTCAGTGAACTCGTTTAATGCCTGACAATCCCGCGTCCACAAACACCCGCACTATCGTCCCAATCCATGCGCAGGGAACACATGGATCGCCATCGGGGCACGGCCGCGGACACGTACACCCCGGACGAGTTCAAGCATATGATGAGGAAGACCAGCATGGACGCGATCTTGACCAGCTTCACACTAGCCAAGAAAGCATACACGCAGGCAATGCATCGCGACCTCAGCATCCGGACGATGACCGTGCTCGGTCATCACACTCTGGCCCGCGGATGCACGATCAGAAACCTGCAGCTGCCTGACATGATGATGTGGAAGCTAGGCGCAAAATCGGAGACCGATCCAGTTAGAAACGCGTTCATGTTTGTTTGCGCGTGCAGGACGGGCAAGACAAACAAAGACTTCTCGCTCAACTACATATCTGCTGTGAGGCACATAGATTGGACGCTGTGCGCGGTCGGAGCGACGCTGCTGTGGCTGCACTGGGTGTACGACTTGGTTCCCATCCTCTACGAGGACATAGCCCCCCCTCTCGACTTCACGGAACCCTCCACGTGGTACGATCAATATCTGTTCTTCCCCCTACTGGATGCCGCGGCCGCTACCACATGTGCCTCCGCCTCCTCCTCGCTCGACTCCTCCCCCTCACGCGCAACAGCGAGGTCAGCCTCATCGCGGGTTGCACCCTTTGTCGCGGTATCCTCGGCCACGTCGTCATCAGCGTGGACCACCGTCCCCCCTCGAGCACCTCCGCGGTTCGAAACACCAGCGGCACCTGTGAGAGCGAGAACACCATGGTCAGCAACCTGCGCACCCGTAGCCACTTTCTGCACCTTCCCCGTTTCAGCCCCTTCAGCCTCACCGCCGTGCATGGGTCGCGTCATATCCACGCTCAAGTTGAACGCGAGCTCTTCGGCGGTTTGGTACGCCTCATGCCTCAGTGCATTCAGAGTCTTCGCGGTTGGCCTCGAGAATTGCGGCCCGGATCCACTGGCAGCGACCGCGTCCAACTGGGCAATGATCTTGTCGAACGCGAACAGACAAGCGATGTTGCCGCATGAGCCGCGGAATGACGTCGCGTCCTGGAAAACATTTCATGGGGTTTGTTAGCACCACTGCAACTATTGGCGGTCATCGAGAACACGTACACAACACAGACGTACCAGATCCAACAGACGCTCGGGATCCTTAAGCTGGCGGGAGCGGGTGCACTGAATGGAGCCGCGCGCAAAATCCTCGTCGACGCGACCCTGAAACCACCTGCACCAAAGCACATACATATCCACGCGAGCGCACGGTTAGCGACATGAGCCCCGGAGCGGAAATGAACGTGGTACTGATGATAAACCAGTACGCGGTACTCACTCCACAATCGCATCAGCCGCGGTGACGTGTTCCGCACCACCAGTGGGAATAGCAACGCGAACGAACCGCGTGTTCCACTCGTCGCCGTCAAGCGACAAGTGGTCGGGGTATAGCATAATGAGCATGCTCGCGTTCGAGCTCTTCTTGTCGACCACGTCCCTGAACGTGCCATTGACGATCGCGTTAAACCACTTAAACGAGTGCAATCCCTGCACAAGTGAACACTCCCAATGGAAACTCACTCGGACCAGATGCAGAAAACCACCAGGCTGCACTCCATCAAACCGCCAAAGGCATGGACCGCTTCATCCCGACCCGCGACTATGTCCGCGACAACACCGCTCGTCACTATTCGGACGTGCTCATGCACCTCCTTCTCCAGATACCTCCGGACAATCACGCTGTGCGGGACGGTGTAAAAGAAGGCGGGGAAAAGCTCAAACAGTAACATCGCGACCCAAAAGCACAGCGGAGTTATGCCGCGGCCTGCACTGCCTACGAGTAACTACCGCTGACATGTCGCGAACAGCCTAAACACCGCGACCATAAACAACGCGTGCATATAAGAGTCAGGGAATTGAACGCATGGATCTCACCCGGTGATAAAGTCGAACAGACGGGCCGTGAGAGGATGCTTATCCTCTGCGAGCAGCCTCCACTGTTCGGGGGGGAGATCCACCGTGGCTCCCGCAACAGAGATGATGGCCGGACAGGAGGCGGCCTCCTTCGACCCAGCTCTAAGCGCCTTCATTTCGCGGCTCATTACTGGTACGACCGCAAAAGCACGAGGACGAAACGTACGCGACACAGTGCTCGCGTGAATCTAGGACGAACGGTTCGCGAAAATGTGCTCGCGGCAGAAAATATGAGCTACGCTAGACGCTACCAAGCGCGAACGCGGCCAATCAGAGTCTCTGCTAGCACTAGGCGACGAGGACCTCTACGTGGAACGGGCGAGCAGGAAGAGAACAAGATGTGAAGACGGAGAACGAAAATGAGCACCAGGTGCCCGTACCGAGAACCTAAGAGTGGGCCGATATGGAAACAAGAGACGGCACTCGCGGTCGCACCGCGCGGGCCTCTCACCCTGCGGGGAGGTTCCGCAACATGCACGCTTGTGCATCCAACGTCCGCCACGTTGCACACCATCCGCGAGCCCCGTTCGGAGCGGGCTGCCAACTCCCGCGAAGAGATAATTTTCCTCGTCGCGACCGGCGAGGTCCGACTTAGGGTCACCCGAATTAACAGTACACTCCGTTATATTACACGTAACCTGGTAACCTCCGTTATTTCTCAGTTTACTCCGTTATTAAACTGAATGTTTCCCCGATGCATAAAGTAAACATTAATATTGTCCATCCGATGCATAAAGTAAATTTTTTTTTTTTCTCGTTTGATCTTTCCGTTTGATCTTTCGATTGGCCGGCTCCGTTTCGTGCTGCACGGAGATGGCGTAAACCGGCTCCCATTGGCCGAATCCGTTTCGGCCAGCCCGAACTGCCATTCGCACGCGCGGATTCGCATGCGAAATGCTTCGCGAGGGCTCTTCCGAGGGGCGGACCAGTCGGAAACGGCTCCGATTGGCCGGATCCGTCTCGGCGCGCCGGGGTTCGGCCCTCGCCCTCGGATTGGTTTCGCGAGGGGTTTCGCGAGCCAGGGCTGGGCCCGGGGTTGGGACCATGCTGCGTGGCGCTGGCGTGGCCGGGACCACCCCGCCAGCCCGCTCCGCCGCCCGGATCTCGCTAGGGACCTGGGAGGGGGCGGGGGACTCCCTCCCGCGTGCGGTTCCCAGCTGGGGGTCGCGACAGCCCTTGCATCGGCGTGCGGCCCTGGTGGGAACGGGTTCCCACCAGGAGGGGGACCTGGTGGGTTCGAAGCCACCAGGGCCCGGATGGACTGGGATGTTCATACGGCGCGGCTCGGGAAAAACCCCGCCCACGCCTGGGGATGCACGGGGCGCGGAGAAATCGCGGGGAGCGTGGGGCGAAGTCGGCCACCCAGGATCCCACCAGGTTTGGACCTAGCACGGCCCTGCGTGGCTGAGTGAAACCCACCAGGCTGCCACCGAAGGCTCCCGGCCCCCAGAAAACCGAAAGAACCCACCTCGTTCTTACGCGCCGATGCATGCGCGGCTCGGCGCGAAACGAACGTGATTGGTCGGCAACATTGACGAGCGGGACATCCCGCGCATGCAACCGCGAGTTCGCGACACCAAAGGAGTGCTACGACTGGTTGTTCTCTCTCGCAACTTATCGCGAACAAAAATCGCACAAGCATAGGTTCGTCAAGCGCACAGCGAGACCCGGTTCGGTTACAACTGGCGCGATCTGGTAGGCTCCATGCCGGCTGACACGTGCCGCAATTTGAACGAGCCACACAGCTGTGTCTTCGTTTGGACGATGCGCGATCGCGGTAACGTGTCAAACACGTCCACGCAGTGTCCGGTCATTACGCCGAGGACGCCCACAGTTTCCACTTTCCGATCGCCAGTTGCACACCAAGCTCAACCCCCTCATGACCCACTGGGATTCACCAGACACCAGTATCGCGGCCGCGTTGTGTGCCGCGCTCGAATGTCCGCGAGCACATCGGTCGCGAGGTAGACGCGTCTAAGTCACACCCGGGTGGAGAAATAGTGACCGCGCATCATGTTGACGCACGCGGTGAATACGAGTAGGTGCAACCTCGCACGCCGCATGCATACCGTGAATCGCGTCGCGGCGCCAATACTTCACGACTCCGTCAATGCTTCGGGCAACACAACCGCGCATCAAATACATAATGCCGAACCACCCACCGCTCCCGTGCATGGGGTGAACGCGCTCAACCCCGCATGGAGCATCCCATACGGGCAGCCAGTGGTTTTTGGGTCCAGGACGCCCACGTTTCACCCACAGCAACTGGTCAACGGGCTCCACCTAGCACCGCGGCCACAAATACCGTTTGCGGCAGCGGGGGTCGCGTTACAAAATCAACCGGGTAATGGGGACGCGCCACCGTCCGTGCCCAGTAGCCAGCTCTTTGGGATGCCTGTGCGTGGCTTCGTAGGGCCGCAGTACTCGAACGTGGGATTCAGGTACGGGTACATCGGCGTTCAACCAAACCCCATGGTGCACGCACCCGCATCTGTAGTGACGCCTCCGGTCGCGCCGTCAACACCATTCCCCAGCGCGATTCATCCGGAAAGCCAGCCAGCTGTGCAAGCCCCGCCAGACCCTAGAGATGCATTAGTTGTCGGTTTGGACACACGAGCGCGAACAGACGGCCCATCATCGAACGTAGTTGCCGGTGGTTTAGGGCATGCGGTGAATGGTGGAGCGGGGATGAATGCACGCGTGCGTGCACATTCGCCGCCAATATGGAACGTGAACTCACTGTTTCCCGGAAACCCCGACGTCCACATCCGCACCCCCACGCATCCGATTGTAGAGTACGCGACTGGTGTAGGTGGGCAACCACAGGCAAACGCGGGGAACGCGGGGCGTGGAGCGGGTGCAAGCGGAAACGCGGTAAAGGGAAGAGGGACGGGTGCGAGGGGGAACGCGGGAGGAGGGACAGGGGAGAGAGGGAACGCGGATAGAGGGAGAGGTGCGATACGACGGGGTGGGAGAGCGAGCGCAGGACGT